TGATGGAAACGAAACTACAGTTAGATACTCCTGAAAGAAAGCTATACAGGAAGGTAACATCACAGATACACCTGAAAGACAGTTTAGTAACTCCATGAATATAACGAACAAAATAAAAAGTATTACTATAATTCCTGAAATATAATTATTTAGGAGGACTATAACATAGTATCTTCTCGAGCAAGTGACAACAAAAAAGCTATCAAAAGACAACTTTAGAAGAAATTGTACAACACGTTTAAACCTCAAATATATATATACTGGAACTTAATAACATAGTAAAGTAAGAACACAGTTACTCAGAAAAGGCAACTATTTAAAAAGTTAGGTACACAGTAAATTTTGAGAGGAAAACTGTACATAGAGTGAGTCTTGAGAGATAACTATTTAGTAAATAGTAGCTCCTCAAAGAAAACTGCTCTGGAAATTAACAACATAGGCACATATAATAAATAACTACAGTTGAAATTCACAACATTATTAAGCTTGAAATATAACCATTCAATAAATTAACAACATTGTTAGTCCTAAAATATAACTATAATAGAAAGTAACAACACATTTACCCCTGAAATATATTTATACAGGAAAATAAGAACCAAGACATTCCTGAAAGATGCCTTTTACAGGAAAGTAAGAACTCACTGACTCCTGAAAGATAGTTACTCAAAACAAAACAGCGATGCTACTCCTGAAAGATAATAATTCATGAAAGTAACAAATCATTTAATAATGAAAGATAAATATGCAGGAAAGTAACAGCACAGTGACTCCTAAAGTACAGGTATTCAGGAAAGTAACAACAAAAAGAATCCTGAAACACAAGAAAACAAGAAAGTGATAACACAGTTATAACTGTTTAATAACGTAACAGCACTGTGACTCTTAATAGTAATAACGAAATATCTCTTGAAAAATAGCTACACAGTTAAGTTACAAAACATTGTCTCCTGAAAGATAATCAATGGGGAATGTAACAACAAAATGGCTTCTGAAACATAACTATATACGACATAAATGATCCAATTACTCCTCAAATATAAATATTCAGGAAAAATACAACCCAGTGACTTCTGAAATATATCTTTTCAGGAAAGTAGCAACTCAGTAGCTCCTGAAAGACAACTATTCAGTAAAATAACAACATTTTCACTCGTGAAAAGTAACTATTCAAGAAAGTAACAACAAACTGACTCTTGAAATATAAACATTCATGAAATGAACAACAAATTAATTCCTTAAAATAGCTATACATGAAAGTAAGAAGACAGCGATTCATAAAACAAAACCATTCAGGAAACTAAGAACCCAAAGACTTCTAAAAGAAAACTATACAGGAATGCTAAAACACAGCTAAGTCTGTAAAATAAATATACAGAAAGTAGCAAGCACAGGGACTCCAGAAAGATAACCATTCAAGAAGGAAACAACACTGCTGTTGTTCAAAGATAACTATTTAGAAAAGTAATAACACATTTACTCCTGAAATACAACTATACAGGAAAGCAACAACACAAGCACTCCAGAAACATAACCGTATTTGACAATTACAATACAATTAATTCTGAAAATTATAAAAACGGTTAATGATAAATGATAATTATAAAAGAAAGTAATAAGGCAGTGACTCATGAAAAGCAATTATAAAGGAAAGTGACAAAAAAGTAACTCCTGAAAAATAACTTTACATGTTTGTTTGTTTGTAATTAAGCACAAAGTTACACAATGGG